GAATTCCATTCCATTCCAACAGGGAAGTTCCTTAAGCAAGAAGACAAACAACTCAAATAGCTTCAGGAAGTCCCTAAAACTGACTGGATTCACCAGGCCTTGGTTTCCCAAGAATAAACAAGTCAAGCTGCCGAGAATCACTCTCAGGCAGGGCAAGATGCAAAGAAGGCTCTGACACAAGACATGCTGCCTAGAGGAAGCAGGAACTAAATGAGTTGCCTGGAAGAGGTTTAGATAAACTGTTGAGGCACCTGGAAAGGACACTCTCTACCTGTTGAGTTGCCTACGGGCTGGCTGTTCAGTGTGCTCCATGTTTCCAGCTTTTGTGAACTGTCACTAATGCTAGGGTAGGCTTTGGTAATCCAGCTGTCCTTGAGTCATTTCTGCTCCTGTAAGTAACCCCAATAACACTCACGGTACATCAAGTTGGACTTTGGTGGTATCCATACTTTTGTCGGGATATGGGCTCCATATCTGGGGTGAGTAGACTGTGTGTGTGTGTTGTATCTCCTCAGAAAAAGTCTTGTCACACAACAATGGCCCTCTCTAACATCTCTCCTGTCCTGTCCTCTTTGCTAGCCTGTCCCAGCACATTCCATTGCTTATCCCTATGCTGTTTATGAATACACCTGACATGTGCACACGTTGGGCTTTGTCTTTGCTCCTCCATCTTGCTGGGTCGCCAGGTTTTTCATGTCTAGTCAGATAGTTATGGGGCCCCATTATCCCCTCAAGAATATACTGAAGCCCATGAACTAGCCTTCTAAATGCCTATGTCTATGCCCATAATCAGTGCTTCTGTCAACATTGGTCAGGGGAACTTCTCTTTTGCAGTGGTCCAGGGTGACTGCAGAGACTCATAGCTGGCCAGAGCACTGAGAGTAAGTGGCTGTTGATTGCCTACCATAAGTGGAACATCTCTATCACCTCCTTCTGAGGCTTGAGGAACATTGCAGAACCAGTGGGAAGAATAGAAGAGCTGAGGAATTGCATGAGGGGGACGGGACATGACATAGTTTTTACACCCTATGCATACATAGGTCCGCATCAAATTGGGTAGGCCAACACTCTGTTGTGGAAGAAGTAGGAGTTCATGGGCTCCTCTGTGTCTTAAGGTTGGGAGTGGGGAGGCATTTTCTTCCATAGCACATAGCCACTGGCAAGATGCTCATGCTCCGATAAACAAAACCTCACCAGACCTAATGCAGCTTACTGTGTCAGATTAAAAAAAAAAAAGCCATGAAAACAGATGCTAGATCAGAAGATGAGGGGAAGTGGTGAGGATGGGAGGAGGATAAGAGAGAGGAATATAATGAAACTGTATTGTGTATGTATATGAAAATGTCATAATAAAGCATATATATACAATTGACATATACTAATGAAACTTTTAAAACTATGTTCAAATGTCCGCTTCCCACTGATGCTTTCCTGAACCATCAAGAAAAAGGAAAGCTTCCACCCAATCTGTTTCTACTTTATTATTTATTCATTTATTGCTGATAAAAATATAGTTGCATCATCTTTTTCTTCACTTTCTGTCCTTCAACCTTTCTCATGTCCCCCACTCTCAACTATATGATTTCTTTCCCTGTAGTTGTTATTGTTATACACACACACACACACACACACACACACACACACACACACACACACGCAGATTCAGGGAACATCTATTTTATTTTTATGCAAAACATTCCCCCTATTTATCATAGACTTACTGTTTTTATTTTTTGTCTGTCCTCAGCTAAGGTGTAGGATATGAAACGTGTGAGCACACAGGATATTTTTCTCATGGCCACATCTCAAGTGCAGAGAACACATAGTAGGCATCCAGTTAATGCGTGAATGAATGGATCCATGAATAAAAGCCTACATTTCCTGTGTCTGAGCTGATAGCCTTCCCTGATGCAAATGAGAGTTAAGTGTGCAACTGTGCCCTTGAATACCTTGCCAATGGTAAAAAAAAAAAAATGTCAGAATCTCTGAAATGATTATTGCTGTAAATATAACCAACATATTATGCTGCTGTTCCATGAAATGTAAAGTAAACATTATTTTCATTGGAAAGGAAGCTGGTTATTTACATTAAACCCTTGCTCACCTAGATGTTGAAGGGTAATTACAGGGGCCAAGCGGTGTGCCTGGAGGACTTGAAAGGCAGGCTAGATCTTAATTTTGAGTCAATGGCTTGATTATATCAATTTGTCAACCTTCTGCTTTTATTCCTTGCTGAATGAAAAATGAGCTAAAACTTTTTTTAAAATTTTATAATTCCCTGCATTAAGAATGTTTTGAAATTCAGAAAGAAATTTATCTTAATTTTTTTATTAAGGAATTTTTTTATTCATTTTACATATCAACCACAGATCTCCCTCTCTCCCCATATCTAAATTTTTTAAAGCTCCCTTGAAGCACAAGCTTCTTACCTTTGTGTAGCTTGAGTACAGAATGGAATTCCCACAATGCCACTGGAGTCAGTGGGTCATGTGACTCATTGGAAAAGCCGGTGTGGCTGGCTTGGCTGTGCTGGGATCTCGCCTTCCACTTTCACCAAGACTTGATGATGAAATTTCAAGGAACTCCCAGCATTCTTATGTTTTCAAAACCCAAGGACGACATTCCCGATTTTGATGTGAAGTGCTATTATGTATTTAACAAGTGAGGGGAGAGGTGGCTGTTGGGACTGACAGAGTGAACGAACTCAATGACTAAAGGCGGTAGGGAAGGAATGTCATCATGTGTTGTCTTCGCTCACACAGAGCCACCTCTACGTTTGTTTACTCTCAAATATTTAATGCACTGAAGGTATTGTTGCAACATTATACAGCTCTTTTTACTTTAGAAAACCTCCATGTCCTACCCTAAGCAAGGAAATGCAGACCACATTTTTAGACAATGAAAAAGAAATTTAATTTTGACCCGAAGAATAGTGGTGGTGTGTGGTGCAGAGAGCAATGGTAGTTGCATACATGTGATAGTAATGGTGGTGGCACAGTGCTGGTGGTTTTGGTGTCTGTGGTGGTGGTATTAGTAGTGATGGTGTTGTTAGCTTGGTGATAGTGAGTGATGGCGGTGGTGATGTTGGTCATGCTTGTGGTTATGGCGGTGGTATCGGTGGCAATGGTAGTGGTAATAACAGTGGTGGTGATGATGGGGGGTGAGTGGGTGGTGGTAGTGATATTGGTGGTGATGATGGGGTTGATAGTGGCAATGGTACTGATGGGAACGGTGGTGGTGAAGGTGGTGGTGGTGATGGTGGTGATGGTGACATTGGAGTGTTTGTCCTGGCCCTACATTTTTCTCTAAGGAGATCTGGCTCCATTCTAAAAAGCTGGCTCAAATTAATGAGTAATTATCCTAAAAGCCAAAACTCTAGATCTCAATATTTTGACATATCTTATAAATGGTTAGAAAGCTAAATCATCAGTAAAGGAAGCATAATGACAAAAGTATTTTAAATGACTTTTTAAACTGAGTAAGTTAACTGAATTAGCTGGAGGTTCCCATGCATTGCGAGTACGTTTTGTATTTGACGTTGCTGGGGTGGCTTCTCCATCCCTGTATTCTCACTCCTTTTCTCTCTTGCTTTCTTGTGCTCAGTCACTCTCCCTTTCTCTTCCTCGTTTACCATGTAATCAGAAATAAACCGGTACAGATATAATCTGCCACTTATCTCATTTCCGTGATCAGTGTGTGTTCTCGCCTGATCCATGGGTCTTGCGGGCTTTTAGCTGTAAAGGCCTCTTTCCAGGCAGTTTGTTCTCAAATGCTCCATGCTCCCGAGTGTAGCCCAGAATATGGATATTATCTGAGTTTATACAGGCTGAGAAGTAGCTATTATCTCAATATGACAGTAAAACAGTTGATTACTTCCTGAAGCACCACTTTAAATCAAGAACCTCTCTAATAAAATCTTTTAAAAATTCTTTTAAATTATAGAACGTGGAATTAACCAGCCCCTACACACCATGGAGGCCTCTCCTGGGCTCACTTCTGAAATGTCTCCTTTCGCCCTGAATGGCATGGAATTGGGGAAATGCGGGTCTAATAGTCACTGAAATTTTTGTGAGAAGTGACGGGCCCTGCGTCTAACGTGACTGATGACCCAGTGGCCTGGGGCAGCTGCCTCTACACCTGTTTCTTACCCAGGGCTCAAAGCAGTGAACGTATCTCTATTCCACAAAACACAAAACATTGAAGGAAAAGACCTATTTAAGTCGGAAGTTCTAAGTCTGATAGTTTCATTTAGGTTGTATTTATCTAGGATATTTAAACTTTAAAACAAAAAACAAAACAAACAAACAAACAAAAAAAAAAAAAAAAAAAAAACCTAAGCCAAACGCCTTATAGTTGGCCAGGGTGCAAACTCCTGGGCTTTTGCAGTACCATTGGGTCAGACATTTCCATGGGACAGTAGCTTCATTACACATACTCTGCCTCTGTTTCTAGGGCTGATGAATTTTGTCGTTGCAACTGCTTGCAATTAGAAGGGAGCACCCACCCCAGCACTGACAAGGGCAGATTTGTCACGGAAGAGCTTGTTCACACCACGGTGCAGGGTTGCGTTTCATTGGAGATGTTAACATCTGATTGCGGTCAGTCTGGGGAAAATGCTTGTGCAAGTGATTTTTTGCTTGCTTTTAGTTAATACTTAAATGTTAATTCTGCCTCAGCCATTATGTTTATGAAACCTCTCCATGCCTTTCTACTTACAGACCCCACTTCCTCTGCCTGTTTACGGAGCTGGATAAAGCATTGTGCTGGCATGGTAACAGGGTCTTGGATGCATTTGGTCCTTTCCCCTTATGGCTGAGGTTTATGTTCCCCTAAAACTTGTATGTTGAAATCCAAGCCCTCTGTGTGCTGGTTTTAGGCTTATGGGAGGTGATTAATCACAAGAGCAGAATCCTTGTGAGTAGAATTATGCGCTTTTGAAGGAGTCCCCAGAGCATACCCTTGCCCCTCCACTGCATGAGGATGAAGAGAGAGTTCATCACCTGTGAACTAGGAAGTGGGCATGGTCAGGCAGCAAATCTGTCCGGATCCTGGAGTTGCAGATTCCAGAATGCTGAGAAAGAACACATCCGTGTTGTTTAAAAATCACCTAGTTTATGTTATCTTGTAATAGAAGCCCCAAACAGACTAAGACAGTGAGTGTGCATGCAAATGTAATCTTTCCTTATCTGGTATGAAATATTCTCCCCAGCATCTATGCTAACTAGAATATCTGAAGATAAGGAATGAAATATTCATGACATAAAGTGTAGAGCTCTGAATTTAAAAACATTTTGGCATATTTTAGGGAATCTAACAAGGAGACGAATTCTTTGCTGCAAATGAGAATTTCCATGTTCATCATGTCTATGGGAACGGAAGTCCTTTCCCGTTATCATCACCCACTGCGCTGCATGCTCCATGGGGCAATGTGCAGCACAGCATGTGTGTGGTCAGGTGCCTGGTACATTGATTGACAGAAGACAATCAGCCTCAGCCTCAAAGGGGCTAAGCTCTCTTCAATTCTGGAACGAAATCTGTGTCCTGTGACCAATATCACCTACAGTACACATGTGTCATAGGAAGGAAGATTTTTTTTTCATGACTCCAGGAGGTTTTGAAATTAACCTTAACAAAAGAAAATCACATTAAATAAAGAGTTTTCCATTCACTTATACAGACTAGTGTTGAGAGAAGCAGACCAAAAGACAGCATCTCCCAATGATGCTGAAGGATGGTGAGTAAATCCCTAAGGACTTCCTATATCAGACGGCCTCACTAAACTTTCAAATGCAGAGGTGCAGGCATGTTACACAGTTCAGGGTCCGCTGAGGTGCAGAGCTTATCTGAGGCAGAGGATGAATTCATGATTTTTCAATATTGGTAGCTGACAGCCAGTGAGGGGGGCGGAAAAGTTTCAGGGATGTGTAAGAATGAGCATGGTTTTAAGGACAGGAACAAGTTGAGTCTTGGGCATAAAGTTGACTAATAAAACTTCCCCATACCAGGGCTTGCTGTTGCCTTTTCTTGTGTGGAGCGCTGGAGTTGCAACTTGGGGGCTCATGCATACTAAACTTGCACTCAACCACTGACCTTCATCTCCAGTCCCGACTGTGGCCCTTGAGGACAGCTATGGCTGACAATGTGTTTTCATAGTGCTAACGTATTTAGCAAATGTTCATTAGATTTTCCTTATGTGTCAGGACTACATGAGGCACCAGGAATGTACCAACTAACTTCAAGAAATGAAAAGAAAAAAATCAAGACCCCTACCCTGCTTGGGCTGACTTTCTGGTGGGGAATAGAAAGCTGTCAACTAAATAAATGCCCTCAAATTATGGATTGGGATTGAGAGCTAAGACTATAAGAGACTGAGAATAAGATTGGACAGACCAACGTGGTGGTTAAATTCGTGTGTCTAGGTTGGAGGAGAGGGTAGGCTGTGATGGAGGTAGCTTTCTGAAGGAGTGACTCTTGACTTCAGAGTTAAAGAATTAATAGGAGTTTGGTATGCAAGGCATGGAAGAGAGATTTCAAAGGTATGGGACAGGAGAGAGCGGCAGGTATCCAGCTAGCACGGAGTTGGCAAGGAGAGTGTCAGGGAAGGAAGCTGTCACCCAAACATGGATGAGACCATGCAGGATCTTTCAGTGTTCTGTTCAAACATTCTGACTTTATTCTAAGTGAAATGGAAACTTTGGAGAGCTTTTCCAGAGGGAAGGCTATGTTCCAGTCTGAGTTTCTGAATGTCCACTCTGGGCACTATACGGGAAACAGATAGGAAAGACTAGTACAGTAGTTAATCTATGTGTCAGCTTGACTAGGATAAGGAATGTCCAGATCGCCTGGAACTCATCATACCTGTGCCGTGTGACGGTGTTTTCAGATGAGATTTGCATCAATATACCTGGTGAAGAGGGTCTGTCATCACCAGTGTGGGAGGGCATCATCCTCTCAGCTGTGGGCTGGAGTGATGAAAAGGCAGAAGAAAAATGAATTTGCTGTCGTGTCTTGAGCAAGGACATCCACTCCCTCCCTCGGGCCCTGGAGCTGCTGGACCTTAGGCTTTTGCTCGTAGACCAGGACTGGTACCATTGGCCACCCTCATTGTTAGACCTTAGGTTTGGATTGGTATTTCGTAGGCAGTTCCCCTGCTCTCCAGCTGAAGTCAGACCCTTCTCCGACTCCATACATGCATGAACTAATCCCTCATAATCTCCTCTCACTCTGGTGTGTGTGTGTGTGTGTGTGTGTGTGTGTGTGTGTGTGTGTGTGTGTATGTGTGTGTGTGTGTACATCCTAGTGGTTCTATTTCTTTGGGGGACTGTCCTATGGCCAGGTGCAAGAAGATTCCAGAAGGCCAGGCAAGAATGTTGACATCATGGAGGGACGTGATGCAGTGGAAATGCAGGGAAAGCTTTGGACTCCACGTTTGTCCCTGCTTGATAAACTGGGAGCAAATCAAACAAGCGCCCACTGTTTGGTAGCGTCTTGCACTATATGGTCAGGGAGCTAAGCAGTCAACAGGGCATACTAAAGGGAGGAGAGATGAGCATCAACCCAGCTATCTAAATGGTGACCTGCAACACATCTTTCCTTTTGAATGAGCTATGGTGGGGTGCCCTCCCCGCCCCCCACCCCTGCCCCCCGCCCCCCTGTTCGTTTCCTTTGAGAGCAGGTGTACAAACAATGCCTTGTTATCAACCGGTAGCTTCATTTCTCCTTGACATTGTTGGTGAGACTCTGTTGCCATGCTTTCTCTCTGACCACTGTCTTTTCCAGAAAGACCCTGTTCACTGCCGTTTTCCTGGTAGCACTTGTATACGGTTTCCAACAGCCCCTTCCCTTCTCACAATGCATCTGGATTCCCTTCCAGTTCCAACTCCAAGAGATCCCAACAATTCCATGGTTAGAATGTGGAATTGAAAGAAGGGCGAAGACAGAGTGCGGCTGTAAAAAACACGTCGCTAATAGTCGGAGAAATGTAAATGAAAAACACTTACCGAGAGATGCCTTTTATAGCATCTACATTATTACACTAACAGAAGTAAATTGTATTTTGATTGTGGCTGGTTGAAAACCACATCCTACACGTATGAGGTATATAATCAGCTTAATCAGTTGCTGATCCCAGGACAATTTCATCTCAGAATATTGGGAAAGTGCAAATAACACAGAGTTTATTCCATTCTTCTTAGTAATTTAAATGTCACTTTGTTAAATGAACATGAAGACAGATTTGCATTCCTTGAATTCCGGGTTTCCAATAATAATCTAGCACTTTTTTTTCCCTTTCTAGTACCAAGACAATGTCTTAATATACAATAAAGCCAGTGGTTATATTCAAAACGCTTTTCCTGGATGAGTGTCTTTGGTGCTATGATTTCCTTTTTTGTTTGGGGGTTTATGGTGTCAAATGTGTTTTCAAAAATCTTAATAAATACATCACTTATTAATTCATTGTCAACTTCATCTTACCTTTGGATGGTTTGATGATGTCAGACCAGGGATGCAGAGCATATTTGCCAGCTGCTTCCCTGATAGTCATTGCCTGTGGGTCCTTTAGGGGTCGGGAAGAAGGATGGAGTCCTTTGGGGGATAAACAGGAACTTTCTACTTCCTTTGATTCCTGTTCCTGCAGAGAGTCTTCCCCCATTGACCACTTCCCTCAGGCAGCAGCAGCTTCTTGCAGTAATGACAACTGAATTTAATGCCCAGATTTTCCAACACATATACAGCCAGCTTCATTCTTTCCCATTGGAGATGCCAGGACCTCTCCGTAGGCACCGCTCCTCAGGAGCTCTATAACCTTGACTTTAGTGCTAGGAGAGGGAACTACTTTCAGCAGCTGCCATCCTTTTAATATTTTAATGTTCTCTTCCTGCTTTCTCAGCTCTTCTCTCTCTCTCTCTCTCTCTCTCTCTCTCTCTCTCTCTCTCTCTCTCTCTCTCTCTGTGTGTGTGCATGTGCGTGTGCGCGAGTGCTCACATAAAAGTTAGAGAACAATGTCTGGTGTCAGTCCTCTCCTATCTTGTTTGAGACAGGGTCTCTTCATTAATTTTTCATTGCCATTTTGCCAGGCTAGCTGGCCCACGAGTGTGCAGCGGTTATCTTGTCTCTCCTTCCCCTCTCTCCATACAGCAGCACCCAGTTTCTAATTGGGTTTGTGGGGTTTAAACTTATGTCCTCAACTTAAACAACAACTGACCGCCTTTACCAATTGAGCTATCTGCTCTACCCTCTACCTAATTTTTTGAACACAGGCTCTCATTGAACCTGGAGTTTACCAATTTGGCCAGACCCGCTGGGCAATAAGACCCCAGGAACCGCCAATCTCCATCCAGAACTCTTAACACTAAGATTACAGACATGCACCACCACAGCCAGCTTTAACATGGGTCATGGGGATCCAGGCACTTTACTCACTGAGCCACATTCTAGCCCTATCCCTTAATGCCCCCCCATACACACACACCTCAAATTTTGCCTCTGTATTGGAGAGTGGCTGTAGCACTGCATAGCACGCAAAAGATGAGCTACCTCTGCAGTCCTTGGGGTCTTGTCTTATTTTGGAGACAGGCTCAATTACAAAACTCCAGCTAGCTTTGAAATCACTGTGTAGTCCAAGCTGGCCTTGCACCTGAGATCCTTCTGACTGTATCCTGATTGCTGGAATTAGAAGAATACACGACTTTGCCCACTCTAGTTAGTTAGCTACTGGTGCTGACACAATAGCTCTCACCTCAAAGGAAAAAAAAAAAGACGTGGTTTAGTCTGAAGAAAAGTATTAGTGACCATGGCTCAGGAACATAGACTTAGATCTCTCCAATGTGAAAGCAGTTTCATGGTAATAGAACAAAGAAAGTTATAAATCAAGGCACTTAAAAAATATATTAGCGGAGACATGAGAGAGGCGAGTTCGAGCCCCAGTTAGAATTGAGACTAGAGCATCACTGCATCTCTCCATAGAGAGATGTAAGTTGACTGAAAAAAAGGGGAGGGGTCCTGTTTTTACTTCTGATGTTACCTCCGACAGTTTTTAGCTTGCTGATGCGACAGTTTTCTTTATTTAATTAAAAAAATATATTGATTGATTGATTGGGGGGGGGATTGGTGCCACGGTGCATGTGAAGAAGTGAGGAAAACTTTCAGGAGTTAGTTCTGCCTTTCACCATGTATGTCCTAGGGATGGAGCTAGAAGGGGGACTCTGCTATAGCCTTGGATGCTAGCTGGCAACATGGATAGAGTAGTTGGTGGAGAACTAGGTCTTTTCTTTTCTTTCTTTCTTTTTTTTTTAAGTTAATAGACTCCAAAAGGTTTTTACCTTTTGTCAGATTGTCAGTTCTAGCCAACAGCAGGATGTTTGCTCAGATACAGAGATTGGGACAAGGAATGGCTATTTAGTAGGTTAAAGATCACCCTCCGATAAACTGTAATTAGACTCTGGAACTGCAACACTCCAACTTCTCCTATCACTGAAGTTTTAATCAGTCAATTCAACCTATGTAGACAGCTTCCTGGCAAGAAGTTCTTGTCCACACTACTCCGCCTTTTATCATGAAATCATCTCTGCTTAAATAGCTTGAGTGTCTTGGGTCCCCTGGTGGACACTGGGTGACAAAGTCACTAGGAAGCTTTGACTTTTCAGC